GCACCATGAATTGATAATGATCTTTAGGATATATTCGGTGGAAAAAAAAGCAAGATGCCAAAATGTGCACACATCATGCTACATTTTGTGTGTTAAAGAAGGGAAATAAGACTATACATTCCAATTTATTTACTTTTGGAAAAAGAAACAGTAGATACGAGCTAATGAATTAAAAATGGTTACATGTAGGGGGTGGGTGGAGACAATTTGAAGGTGCTTAAAGGGATAGGAACAAGACTTCTCTGAAAGTACGTTTTAATATAGTTTTGCATTTTTAACCATGTAAATGTTAATGTGTTTTGAAAACAAAGTTAAGTCAAAAGGGAGGGAGGGAGGGGGATAGATGGAGCCTGAAGCAAGCCTAAAATGCAAGTTTCAGTGCTAGCATCGCACTTCAGTGTTAACTAGATTATGCACTGTTCATCCGCAGCTCTTCAGTGGGTTTTACTCATGAAGCTTTTGAGGAGACTGGCCTTATCTGGAGGAACAGATAGAAATGGTCTTACAGAGGAATTTTAATTCATGGACTTGCAAGCCCATATGATTTAGAAGGATTTACGGCAGGATGATTTGTAGGCTGATCAAGATTTAAAAACGATCCAGGTTTTGTATACAGTTGTATTTTCAAGTTTTTGGCACTTTCTAGTTTTTCCTTTTTACTGAAATTTTTGATGCATCAGTATTGCGTGTATTTTTGAACTTCCCCACCTCCCCCCCACCAATTATTTTCAGTACCTTAACCCAGAAAATCTTGATCATAGATTTGAGTACCGACTTCCATTTATTAAACATAGCATCCTTTCCATGTGCACACATCTCAAAATTTGCATCCGAGTACATTTAATGAAAGAGAATGACATTTAAATCACATATATCAAGTTTTCTAAAGATAACATTCTCATCTACTTTCACTCTGCCAAATGTATTATGTTACACAAAGTGGAGCGCTAAAGAACGCTTGGCTACAATCAACTATTTAAGCCTACAAAATCAGTGCGTTTGCTCTCTCCTCCTTTCTCCCGTTACACTTAGTAGATGTTGTTGTATCTGAGCATCTGGGGAAGTAGGTGTGGTTCAGAGTTATTACTTTGTGTTAATTATACCCTTAATCTATTTGAGGTCATCATATACTTACACACACATGGTTATAATGTAAATACCTTAAGACAGTCCTTAAGTTCATCAGGAATCTTTCTGTTGTTCAAATCAAGACATGTTTAACCACTTGGGGGTAAACTACCTGGCACTGAATGGCTTTAAAATCCTGACAAGACGGACTCTGACTCTACATTTTTTTCAGGTTGGCACACTTAGAAATCATATTTTGAATATGTTAAATCAGATTCTCATCTTAAACTAGACTGGTAAATGGTAGTCAGACCGAATTTAGAAAAAAAATGCCTATTAATCATTGTATCGAAAATATTCTATTTACACACTTTCTTGTCACAGTTTCTTGAAGTGCCATTATTTGACTTTAGGACTGGAACAACTCAGTAGCCATCAGACTTAACAGGACTCTTTCCTCTATCATTTCCACTTCCTAAAACCCATTGCTTTATCTTCTCCCTGATGACTCACCATCTTTTCCAACCACTATGGACCCTAATGCAGCACAAATCCATGCTTCCTTTCCATTCTAAGAGTGCAAAAATCTAGGAGTATGATGCCGGGAGGAGGTCAATACTACTCCCAAATGCTTCTTCTGAAACCAACTTAAAAACACTATGCCATACATCCCAGCTTGCCTAGAAGAGTCCCCATTTTATGGCTGCTGCCCTATCCCAGTAAGTAGTAATTGTGCCCCGTTTTGATCTCAAAAGTGTTCTGGCTTGGACCATAAAAGATATGGTTGGCCTAATTATAGGTTATCAAATTTAAAGACATCTTTCTCTTGATAAAGAAATATTCAAAATGAAAAGTTTCTTTCAAGCATGACTACAGAGTAAGCACTCCGCAATTCCTACTCTTCTGCAGTGGCAAGTAGACTAGCGCTTCCCTGGAGTCGGATCTCCCATCACCACAGTTGGAATCTTGGCTCGAACACTTAATGACCACAAACTTGGGGGAAGTTATATGATCTCTTCGCCTCAGTTTACTTATCTGTAAGATGGGGACACAACAGTACCCAACTCAGAGAGTCACTGTGAGGACTAAAAAGAATGTGTATTAGGTACTTAGCACTGTGCTTTGCACAGGTTGTCAGTAAATGGTATCTGTAGGCCACACTAAAAAAATACCATCATTTCCCTGCTCAACTAAAAAAGTACATCTTCCTTTCAAAACCAAAATACCACATGGACTGCTTCACAATATATATACAAAACTATTACTGTGCAAAGCACTCCAGGACAGTGATACAAAACATTTAAAATTGGTGATGTTTGCTATTCATCAAAGACCAACATAATTTCATACCTAGGGATCCTGGAAAGACCGGACAAACCCTCCACCCCCCACCCCTCAAATTCAATACCTTTTCCCATCCATGGCAGTTAGGTTGTTGCTCCACTGAAGGTGCTCTGGCAAATGTCACCATCTTGTGCCAACCCAAAGAAATCCCTGTAATCCTCATCTTTGCAGCATGGTGTGGTTGTTCTTCAAAAGCTCTGGTTTGTCCAACATCACCCTGGCTGGTTTAGCTTTCTTCTCCTTTGCAATCTCCATTTCTCTCATATGTGACATTCCTTAGTGGGTATTTGGTCTACCTCTCCTCACCACAGTTCCTGGATCGTATCATCTCTTCTGGTTCTAAGCACCACCTCAGTGAACATCAGATACATGGTTCCAGACCAGGCCTCTCAACTACTTAGATGCCCCACAAGCAGTTCATTAGTTTCTGCCTCCAGAACCACACTTCCCTATTTCCTACTCTGGTTAGAAGCACCCCATTCACTTGAAGACATCTAATGGGTCCTGTGGAACTTATCTGTGCTCGTTATTTCCAACCTCACAACATCCAAAGCTCAAATCCAAATCCTCTCTTCCTTAAATTTCTCTGCTTTGGAGATATCCCTCTGGCAGCAATGTATAGGATAAATGGAGTTATGTTAAAGTAGGCAGGAAGACTACTGCAAATTCAGTGCTGTTCTTTCGTTTAAATCCCATGGACGATTCCATATTAACTACAGGGTAAAGTGTAAACACCACTCGTGGCAGAGGCAGCTTTCCCACATCTCGGAGCTTTCATACCTTCGTTTAGCACTCCTCCAACCCCTTGGCCAAAGTTCCCAAATCCTCTTGGCTCAGGAAGGTGCGATGTAAACCTCACTGAAATGCAGGCCGCCCCAATATTACCCTTCTTGTTAACTCTTCTAGGTTTCGCCTGATGTATTACATCAATCTCCCATATTAGATGTGTGTGGAGAGGAGAGAGGACAGGGATCACATCTTAGATTTGCTTTAAGGAGATGCTAAATAAATATACTGACTAAATGAAAATACACGTGAGAATAATTTAAAGATTTAATGACTAGGTTCGGAGAAGACACTTCGTTTCAGTTAAATTCATAGTATTATGTGATCTTAAATTTCCGTTGAAATTGTGAAGGCTGTGTCAGTTTACTACTTTTAGAAACTTAGGTTTTATCTCAAAACGAAAAAGCCACTTTTTTTTACTGATTTAACATAGGTTAAAAAGCAAGTTGAATTGCTCTACTGATGGTATATGATTTCCTATTCAACTGGTGACAAAGAGAGAAGAATATGATTCAGTTCCCACTATCTGGAGCAACATCTGTTTTATACATTTTGTAATTAGCTTTTCTTTAAACAATGTGTTATTAAGGCATCTAGATAAAGTGTGGTTTAGTGGGATTTACCTATACATAGAGCAGTAAAAAGAAAAAAAATTCTATTTCTTCTGAAACCTGAAAAATGTAAATTATAAAGGATATCAAATTGATGAAAAGAAAGCAGTTTGCACAACTTTATCTAGTTATACTTCGGAGTAATGTTGATGTGTTTAATTTCTATCTCCTATTCTCTACCCATTCAAAGATTAAGCTGAGCAAGTATTATTCTTGACATAAAACTTCCAAGTATGTATTGGTGAAACAGCACTAAATTACTCTTCAACGTCAGACAATCTGTATTAATCTTAGCAATAAACAATCTGATAAAACCATAGAAAATAAGACACTTTGTCAGTAAGATAAACTAGAACTGGTTAAGCTACATTTAGGCATAGCTTTAGCATTCTTATAATCTTTGCTTATGGATAGTTGGCTTGCAATTTTTATTTGCAAAAATGTCTTTAGTTATTTCAAAAATATTAGTAGTTACACATCCTAAGCAGCACTTAAACAAGCACTCTTGCTTCCTAACTAAAATAGATTTGTAAGTATTTCCTTCTGAAGTTATGAGAGATGATTGCTGCTATTGATGATATTCAATATTTACCAATTAACTAATTAAATAAAATATCTCCATGCTTTCAAGTCTTCAAACTGTTTCTAGGAGGACAACATACTCCAAAACTATCTGAACAAGAATACTTGATTAATGCAATCAGCACGGCATTTCCCCAGATAGGATTATAAATTCTCTTTAGTCATAAATATAACTCCATTTCTAGCATTCTCTATGCTTCTTCACTAAAGCTTCCTGGAAAATCTTATAAAGAACAGTATGATAAAAAGAGAGGATGTGCCAAGTGCAAGGTACCATTGTTATAAAATGAAATGCTACTGTTAATTAGAAGTGACTTGTTAATGCTAATATAGCTTGCTATATTTTTACCAGTGATACGGATTTGTAGACTCTCCCCCCCACCCCAATCACATCATGCAAGCAGGAAAGCATGAAATTTCAAAATTGCCTAACATTAAAAAATAAAGTCTCTTAATTTATTTGCATTCTAAAATAGAGCCCTTCATCTGAATTTTTCCATATAAAATTCTACTTAGTGATGTACAAGATTTATCAAGCCCATGTAACATTCCCTTTAAAATCTTAAGTTCAATCACTATTTGTTTTCTACTATTATACTATGTTTAGGCAGCAATTGTTTATTGGTCTGTCATTGCAGTAATTGCAACTTAACAATAAACCAGTCTGACATTTTAGGTCTTGAAGATACATACCATATATATTTCTTTAAAAATAATCATACTTTTGTAAGCAATACTTTACAGTAGACACCTCAAAAATCTACCATAGATGTGAAACTTAAAACGAGAAAAATTTAAGTTCTAAATCTTTATACATATATAGCCAGATTTCTATATATATTATATATACATACATAAGTATATATAAAATATATATAATCAGATTTGAAAAATGAACAAAAACTGGGCACTGTACATAAAGTCTTTTTAAAACTCAAACAATAGAAAACTCTTTAAACATTAAACAATTTTAATAAAAGTTTCTGTACAATGCTAAGCAGTTTTATTTACACATAGAAAATGTAATAGGAGTAGTGTTTGAAATTACAGAACTCCTTAAAATTTCAATGGCAGGTAAATCTGGAAAAAATAACAGCATTCCATTCACAAATATTTTCAAGCAATAAATATGTATTTATAAATAGTGTAAATTTACATCAAGATTAGAAACAAAAATCACAAATCTGAAGTTTATTCCTTAGTCTATGTGCAATCCATTATCTTTGTGACTTGGCTGTTAATTTTTTAAACATTTTATTTAGGAACCAAAAGTGTAATAACCGTCATGGTTTCAAAACAAGACAGAAAAACATAAAAGCAGTAAAAAAGTTCCTTACCTAACTTTTCACATTAAAAAAAAGTTGACCAAAGAAAGACTTAAAATTGCTAACTACCTTACAAAGAAATGACCAGCTAGGCTAGTATTTTTTTTTCAAGGAAAATTCTGAAGGGGGAAAAGATAGATGAAAACCAATTCATCAGCCCAGAAATAGAGAAATATAAAAGAGGTTGTTTTCAAGTCAGTAGTCTGTATGATGTTGCCAGTTTTGTCAGATATATACAAAACATGGAATTTATTATTTTGTTTCTGAAGTACAGCTGATCAGCTCTGTGAGAGTCCTGGAGTAGGAGCAGTGCTCTCCCCTGTCCAGTTGGTTGACACTCCACACTTGGAAGGTTGCATAGACACAGTTTTCAGCCAGCAGCCTTACGAGACAGCTACAAAAACCGGTGGTGCAGAACTGAGTTACTTCCTGAATAGCAGAAAAGGTTGCATTTACAGTCCATGGAACAATATCAAGATGAGGAGGATGGTAATGGAGGAGCCTGAAAATAAAAGGTGTGTTACTTTGGTATACCAACGGTTAATAGCAGTCCCTAGCTCAAGTCTACAAACATAGTCTGCTTATGAATGTAGGGGAAGGAACAATTCTCAAAAGAACGTTTCAAAGTCTGCTACACAACGTCAACATAGAACCTTCCTTACTACTGTCTCCTGCATGGCCAATTTTCCTAAGGGTCTGAGACCATTATTCTACTCAGTGTGCCTACATTTTTCTGTACTTCACCAATTAGTCAAAAGCCCTTAGGATGTTATTAGGTTGACCATTTAAAAAAAAAAAAAAATGGCTTGCAGAAAATGATTTCACAAATCAATTATAATTTCATTAGTGACTGGCTTCAGAAGCTATCTCAACAAGATAATATATTTTGTTTAACATATTCTGGATAATTTTCTTCTTCTTTAAGCAATCTTAAAGACCATTTAAGTGAAACTGGGAGCTAAATTTCAGTAATTCGGGTTTTGGTCACATATGCAGAGAAAAGTACTGGAGGAAATCAACAATTCATAAATCTTATCTGTGTGTCTATTCATGAAACTACTGATGTGCTAGAGTAAAATGCTTCCCCCTAAGCCTCTGCTGTTTAAAATTAAAAACTGTGTAATAATTTATAAGTATACTTGAATTTCATAAGGTTATATAACGTACCAGGAAGTTAAGCTCCATCAGATATTCCCATGAGGTTAATACTTCTGGCAAGGACAAAATTTTAAATACATATAATTAGCTCTAAAAGCAGAAGTCTATTTAAAGACCACACTTACTGATTCATTTTGTGGACGCTAATAACCTATGTACACATTTTATCAACTGAAATCAAATGGCACAGAGGATATGATAGTGTTCTAAAAGCACAGGAAGATTTTAAAATGTAATTACGGTGACATTGTTTAGGCTTGGACTCACCCAGGAAGAAAAGTGAAAATGAAACACACCAATTTTATAGGAATAAATACTTGGAAGTGAAGGAGGGGGAAATGATACGAATATTTCCTCATGCAATATCTAACAAGCAAAGGAAAATTTAAATATTTCATTACCTCCTACTTATCAGGTGGCAAAACAAACACTGCTGCTTCCCTATCCAGCTAAGTATGTACTCACATGTTGATTTCACTTACTAATGTAAATTGGTCATAGACTTGCATCAGGTCCTCCATTTTATACTGTTCTAGCACCACAAAATTTTCCAGGTTTCCGCTTGTTTTTCGTGCACAATCTTGGCAATGCACTATGTAGGTCTTTCGAGAATTGCTCTCATTTGTGACAAAAAGCAGATCAAAAACCTCCACCTATTTTATCCAAGAGAAAAGGAGTTCAATAGAGAGAGTATTTATTTATTGTACTGTTTTAGTATAATCATAGAATTCTACTTTACATGGAATTGTGGACAGTGATCTCTGGTTAAGAGTAGCTACTAAGACAAACATGGCCATGTCTGAGAATCTTCAACAGACCAGGTTTATTTTGCACCAAACCCAAAGATGTGGGTGGTAATGCATCTTTAGGGGAGGGACTTAAAGGAATGACACACCCTTTACAACCACTGGCAAAAGCCTAATTTAAAAGTTGATCAAGGTCAGCCTATTTTTGTTTTCAATCCAAAACAATTAGAAGACAGTACTCATCACAGAGCACTGTGTGTGGATACTTGTCTTCTCCCAGAGACTGAGCTCAACAATGAAGACTATGTTTTACTCACTTTTGTACCTCCAGAGCATAGCACAGTGCTAATAAGACAAACCTCAAAACACAGTTGTTGAATAAATATAATCTGATTATTTTACAGACGAGGAAACTGACAGATAAGTGACAGTGAGTGTTTAGCTATAAGCCTCATGTTAAGGAATAGGAGTACAGGCAAAAGGTATATTTATGAGTATAGCATGATTTTAGAAATAATACCTCTACCTTTTACAGAAAGACTGATGAGCTGCTAGGGTTCAGGTGGGATAAGAAACAACACTGAGGGATAAAAGTCATTCTGAAATTCTGAAAAGCTGATACATTCATTTCTCTTTTTTTTGAGGTATAACAAACCTAAACAGAATCTATCTGATCTCCCAAAGATTTAACTTTGGCCAGGTTGCACAACATTAAAACAGCCGATGGACTGGGGTGCCTGGGTGGCTCAGTCGTTAAACGGCTGCCTTCAGCTCAGGTCATGATCCCAGAGTCCTGGGATCGAGCCCTGCATCGGGCTCTCTGCCCAGTGGGAAGCCTGCTTCTCCCTCTCCCACTCCCCCTGCTTGTGTTCCCTCTGTCACTCGCGCGCTCTGTCAAATAAATAAATAAATAACAGCCGATGGATTCAATCATTTCAAATAAAAGTCAATGTCAGAATACAGAATTTCAAGGCTTGGAATGGATCATTAATATCCCTGGCTTTGGCATATCCTTGAATTTATTCAATGACAGAAAACTCTCATGACCTCCTGTCTTCTTTGAACAGCGTTTTAACTAAAATCCCAGCATTCACCATTTTACCATTACTATCAATGGGCAACAACATGAACCTGGTGATCTGAGCTGGAAAATTTATGAGCATTCTTCCACCTGTCCCTCACTTCTGCCATGTAATGTGCTCTCCTGTGGATTTTACCTTCTAAATATTTTGAATTCCTCTCCTTCTTTACTATTCCCACTGCAATCTCATGTAGGTCTTAAGATAACAACTCTTAAAACAACCACTGCAACAGCTCCTACCTCCATTCTTTCCAACCACATTTCTCTTTCAAACACATATCCAAAGTGGCTGCCTGTTCAACATTTTTTGATGGCTTCAATGACCTCAGAATAAATATCAATTTCCTTAAAATCATTCCAGATGCTCTGCAAAGCTTCCTACCCCCTAGACTTGTAAGTAGAATTTGCATATTCTGTGTTCCAGCACACTGGACTACTTACCCTTTTCTGAATAAGTCATTTCATTTCCCATGTTGTGCCTACAGCTCATAACAACATTCACTCCACTTCCAATTCTCATCATTTTTTTAGCCACTTCAAGGATGGACTCAAATGTTAATACTTTTGTGAATTCTTATGCAAACACTAGAAGGGAAAATTAGGTCATTTCCCCCCTCAGTGTTATCCTAACAGTACGATCCAACTTGGCATTCACCACAGTCTCATGTACATTACAATTAGTTGTTTATAATCTGTCTTCTCCGAGTAGAATATAAGCTCTTTCAGAACAGGTACTACATTAATATTTGTTTCTGCTTCTCTTGAATGCCTTGGCCACAGAAGACTGACCAATGTATTATGAACTGCGCCACAGAGGGGTGAGCACTGATCTGCCTGGAGCTATACCGAACTACATCCAGTTTACTGTCATCTGTTTACATCTGGATTATTCCCAGTTTAAAATCTCAAGACTAAACTTCTTGATGATAATCATTTGTTAAACATCTACCAGACAAATGACTCTGTCATAATTACTTGTAGAGTTAATTCATTGTTAGAGAAATAGTATGTCATTAAATTTTAATATAACAGCTAAGTAACAAGAAAATAACAAGACTGAATACAATGTCAATTTCAGTAAGATGCAGGGCATTAGAGTATAAATATTCTTTATAAATTTTAAATAAAGTAACCAAAGAGAAACCAAAAGTAGAGAGGTTAAGAGGCTTTATAAAACAACCGTGGATAACAACAGTTACTTACCTCACAAATGCTACAGTAATGTGCCGGTTCTTCTTTTGTCCGCCCATGCCATATAATCTCTTTTCCTGCAGCAATGAGAGCTTCCCTCAACGTCTGACATTGCTTCAGAGTTCTCAGAAGACAATACCTATTATGGGGGAAAAATTATTTGTGACCAGCAACAGAATACTGTATATCATTAGCATAAAAGATATACTCCCAGAGACCTGGTTCTAGTATCTGTGACTTTATAATTTTTTTTTGTCAATTTCTCAGATATTCTCTTTCTTAAAAAATAAGGCCAATGCTCAGCAAGTCTGATAATGACAATATTAGATCATTTACAGTTGAAAATTAATTGATATCTGAATATCAAAATACAGTGATCTTAATACAAAAAACCCGACTCCTTGCTTAAATAGAAGTTGCGAACTTTGGCTCATATTTGGGCAAGTCCATTAACCTCTTTGGGAGTCAATGTCCTCATCCTTGACATAAGGGGTCTAAATTCCAGATCTCAACTGCTATAATTCTATTAAGGCAGGAAGGCACATTATTTCTGTCAGCACTACCTAGACACTCATAAACAGGATCATCTGTACAGCTAATTTTGAAACTTTTGAGTCTGTACACAGAAAACTATAGATTTAGTTACTACTTGACACAAAATTGGTTTCACTACAGCGCTAAAGAAGAAAAAAAGACATTACTTGATTTTAACTTGGGGATAATATAGAATCTTTCATTTATATTAACACAAGTGAACTCTTCTTATACCTTTTCTAAATTCATACTTATGATGCTAACAGTATATTGAATTCTCACAATTTGTGCTGATTTTCCTACAGTTTGCTGTCATTATTTGGACTTGTCTGCTAGTCTCTTACTCTCCTGTGAATTAGTGGCTCAGGTTCTCCATTTCAAAGAGAAGTTGGACTAGATGGTCTCTAAGGCACTTTGCAGCTCTAAAATTTTTGCAGACAATGAAAATACCCTAAAGAAAAGGAAATGGGTTTCGCAACTGCTGTTTTAGAGCAAAGTTTTTGTCTGTTTTAATAATTGCCTAGGACAGTGCCTGGCATACAGTATAGGTGCTCGATAAACATTCAATTACTTAACAAGTAAAATTGAGAGCATAACAGCATATTTAATTTCTCTGAATCTGTATTTCCTTGCTATTTCCTAAGTTACAAGGTTAAAGTACTGTAACTTATCAGAACCCATGTACATTAAGCCAAGGAAAGAAAGATGACTTAAAATATATGTAAACCTGTTACTTTATGTAACAACCCTTAAACAATAGCAACTTTACAGTTGTAAGGCAGATCCTTTCAGTATCATAGTCAAAGAATTTCACTCTTAACTTGGCTTCAGCAATTCTTGTGTTTAACTTATTTAAAAACAAAATAATGCTTTAGATTGTGGTTTGCAAGTCAAACATAGGACAGCTGTGTGGGGGGAGGAGTGGGGAGAGATGTGTCAGGGGAGGTAGCAAGTAAAAAGTTAGATCATGACAAAAAGAGAGAAGATAGAATTCTAGACCATGCCGCCAGCTCTTGAACAGTACCTGCTCCTCCCTTTTCCCCTTCCCGAGTCAAGTACAATTCACCTCTGAAGCCACTGATCTTACTAAACAAGTTTTCCAAGCAGGGCTTCAAAATAAGGTCTCTTTCACAGGAAAATAATGCCTAAAACTTTGCAGATACCTTTGGAAAATTTGCAGACTCCACTATGCTCTTGTGTGAGAAACAAAGAAAAAATAATAAAATAATACAGTAAAGTACATAAATAATTAAAAATAAGAAAACAGGAGGCATGGTATGAGGTGCTTCAGACACGTTACGCCATGTAGGCCTCTTAACAGCCCTGTGAGAGGCACTCTTATTTCCATCTTACCAATGAGCCAATTAGGGCTCAGGGAAGCTCAATTTGTCTGGTATCATAAAGCTAATTTTTAAGTGGCTGGGCTAGGGGTTTGTGAAAACAAAATGTTAAGCCTCCCCTCACTACCTCACACTGTACTCTCTTCTTTCTGGTATCTTTTCCTATCTCTTTTCACCTGCCTGCTCCCCCTCGTCTCTTTTGAAGATGAGATTCTTGAAGCTCCATCAGCACAGTTTGGTTTTGTGTTTCGAACACAGAGCCTTGGTTCTGGGGAGCAGTACCCCACTCTACTCAGCGAATGAACTTTTACCTCCAATGCTATGGACTACTTTGGCAGTTAGATTGTAGTTTACAACTTATGGCTCGTTAGGTAGTTTTAACCAGAAAAAGGCAATTAGTATATATTTTTTTCTTACAAACAATAAAGGGTTAGAGTTAGGGTTATATTAAGAGTAAACACTAAGCCATGAATATGCTGCTTCTGGAATCACAGCTCCAGAACTTTTATTTTGTGAGATACTGGAATCTTAGAAAATCGTCAATTCAACTAATGTGACCTGACAACAAATAACTAAATTGTGGTTTCCCCCTTGCCCTTTGGTTTTTTCCTTAACAGTAAAAGTTTCTGTTTCTTCCCATTTTCAAAAGGTAGTGCAGTTGGAACAGAAGGAGAACTGAGAGAGACAGAGGCTCTTTTGGAGTCCACAGCAATAAGCAGGTCCTAGAGAGAGGATGTGATTCAACTGAAGGGTAGAGAACAATAAATAGAAAATAAAAACATTTGAGGAAAGGATGCCTAGGGAAGGCACAGATATACTATTCAAGACTTGACTTTTAACAGTCATCTGGTTCTGCTTTGGTTAATCTCAGGCTTTGGTTTTATGTGACAACAACATGTGAATGAATGTACCGAAGAGCTAAAAACTAAGAGCCAAACAAAATCACTGTTGCTATTTCCTCTTCATTTTAGTTTTGCTGAATTTTAATAAGTTTATCTTATAGCAATTAAAAATGTAACTTGTTAAAAACAAAATAATAAATCACTAGCAAAAAGTATAAAAATGTAGAGGATGGGGCATCTGGGTGGCTCAGTCATTAAACGTCTGCCTTCCACTCAGGTCATGTTCCCAGGGTCCTGGGATCGAGCTCCGCATCGGGCTCCCTGCTCAGTGGGAAGCCTGCTTCTCCCTCTCCCATTCCCCCTGCTGTGTTCCCTCTCTGTGTCTCCCTCTGTCAAATACAGTCTTTAAAAAAAAATAGAGAGGATAGAAGATGCTGTTTTTAACAAATGCATTTTAGGAGCAGGATCAGAGATGATTTCAGGAGCCAGAAAAGCAGGAAATTCTGTGACTTTTAAGGATCAGTCTGGTTTCAGGACCCTGTGTTTAGCTGTCTGGATGAAAGACTACACAAAAAAGCAGGGAGTATTAAAGACAGCTCTGGCTTGGAAGAAAACCACAAGGAAGAGGCTGATTGAGGGTGTGTTGTATTTGAGGTTACACAGTAGAATCTAATCCACCCAAAAACCCATCTGCAAAGATGGAACCTCAAGAGGGATGGAATTTTAGTGAAATGCTTTACATAGGGGATAGAAATGCAAATATACCTGAAATATCAGAATAAGAAAACTGAAGACAATAAACAGAAGGACAAATGATTATGAACAATATAATCATAAATCAATACATTGGGCAAAAGATAAAGTATGCCATGAATGCAAAAGGAAGGAGTTCATCTTCCATTGAGGGGAGATGGGAAATCACAAAGTTTTCATAAAGAAGTTGTCAATTTAGATGTGAGCAAGGAGGAGAGGTGGGAGGAAGGCATCTTCCAGGCAGTGGGAATGCCATGAACAAAGCTAGTATGGGGATTATTCAGGGAACAAACAACTGTTGCTACAAGATTTTAATCTTGGGATGGGGTTTCTGGGGCAGGAGAATAAAGGAATAAAGCCACAGTGACAGTACATTATATTGAAGTGAAGACAACACTGGGGGACTACTCAGACATTCCAAGGGCAACTTAGGACTAAGTTTCCAAAGTCAGTTCCCAAATACCAGTGTGGAGACAGATGAAACATGGGTTAACTTGATACAACAAGTCTTTATGGTAACAACCTTAGCCACTAAGAAGTAAATGGGGTACAAATTAAAAGTACACCAAGAGGTGCCCTGCCTTGACCAATCTCTTACTGAAAGAGCCATGCAGGAAAAGTGAGCCAACATGTGAGCCCTTGAAACAAACTTGCCACCTGTCACTCCAGGACAACAGTGAGTGTCTGAATGTCAGTGAGACATCTAATAGTTTCAATTAAACCAACCACATGGCTGAAAATCAAGGTCTCAGTCAATGATAAAATGAGTATCTTAAGAATTTTAAATTCCTGGATGGAAAAATCAAACATGAAAGCAAATGTTAACCATGAGGATGTAGTTTTAGAATTTTTATATTTTGTTTATACGGTATTCTCACAAAGTACTGTATATTTAACCCAATGGTGTTTCAGAAGACCGAGCCTCAGGATAAGAGCATTAGGATCCATACCAACTATGGACTGGTCTTCATGGCTATACCCTCTCAATCAATTATTAGGCCAACTGGATATTACCAAAGAGCTGGAGTCCATTTGTCCATTAAAAAAATGGGAATCAAAGGGAAAGGGGAGTTAATAGTGAACAATTTGCTTTAATGTATATTCAAAACCTCTGTGCTTGTGATAAAGTTTATATTATGTAGATAGGGCAATAATTATAGTATGTACCAAAAAAAGGGAAAACAAAAATATTGTTAGTTTTAAGAGATCTAATCTAGTCTAGGATGTCAGGGACTTGCCTGATCAGAGGATTTATCTAGGCCACTGTGAAAGAGATTCCCAGGGTTCCTCCCATAGAGTTTTGAATTTACTTGTTAGGAACAGACACTAGATATCTATTTTAGTAAGAGTCTCTGCTGATTTTTATGATTAGGGAAGTAAGAACCAGTGCAAACCTCTTACTTCATAAGTGATGAAATTGGGAACAATGTCTAAAATTTGTAGCATTATTCGTCAATAGACATTAGTACTATACCAACTTCATGAATCACATTTTTATGATAAAAGCCTTTAAGAGACTATAGAAAGAAAGCTTCAGGGGGGAGATAAGAGCAGATTCTAGAGCTAGATTGCCTGGGTTCAAATCCCAGCTCCACACATACTTCATATTCTCTGTGCCTCAGTTTCCTCACTGCAAAAAAAAGAGGACAACTAACACTGCTATTATGAAA